TATCAACGGTTCAGGCTGGTGGTAGAGGTGTAATGGTGTGGGGAATACTTTCTTGCCACATTTTGGGCCCCTTAGTACCAACAGAGCATCATTTAAACACCACGGCCTACCTGAGTATTGTTGCTGGCCATGTCCATCCCTTTATGACTACAGTATACCCATCTTCTGATGGCTCCTTCCAGCAGGATAATGCAGCATGTCACAAAGCTCAAATCATCTCAAACTGGTTTCATGAAAAGAAAAGATCGCAGCCCAATAGAACATCTTTGGGATGTGGAGGAACGGGAGATTCGCATCATGGATGTGCAGCTAACAAATCTGCAGCAACTGCATGATACTATCATGTCAATATGGACCAAAATCTTTGAGGAATGTTTCCAACACCTTGTTGAATCTATACCATGAAGAATTAAAGCAGTTCTGAAGGCAAAAGGGGGTCCAACCCGATACTAGCAAGGTGTACCTAATAAAGTGTCTGGTGAGTGTATGATGTGTATGATGATTTACAGTACATTTACTATTTGTTGTGTAATTTTATTCAATATTACAGGTTTTTTTATGGTCATGTGACCAACACACACCAGTCAACGCTGTGTGGACGCTGGACACTGGGTTATAGTTGAGGATTCCTCTACTGATGTACACAGCATCAGAGTCTGGAAGATTATCCCAGATGTTTCCTTGCACTTGGGCAAGAGATGAGAAAAAGTCACATGACCGCTGTCCACTGCCAAATAAAATAGAAGCGTAGAGGTTTTATTTTTACAAAATAACTACACTGCCATCAAAAAAGTACATTATGAGAAGGTATAATGTGCATTAAATGGTCTGTGTTTACTATTACTTTAAAGTGTTTGGGGAGTTTTGGGGGATGAAGGTGGCAGAGCACTGGTGTAATCCCAAAGGTGGAATATGAGTGCAGTACTTGCAAAGGTACACTAACTTTAGCAAGGAACCAGAACCAGTTCACTCAAAAATGTAATTCTCAAAGGTGTGGATAGGAGGTGATGGATACAAATTTGGCTTTGTTTCTCAGTGTGAAGATGTGTAGAGTCCCAATACTCAGGATAGGCAACTCTCTGACATTGAAGGGCCTTAAGAGTGCCTTGGATTAATATAGAAAAGTATAAGGGAACACAATGATACCAATCCAAAGGACAGAGGTCTCCAAACTTTTCAGTACAGAGGTCACAACATACAGGTGAAACTCGAAAAATTAGAATATCGTGCAAAAGTTCATTTATTTCAGTAATGCAACTTAAAAGGTGAAACTAATATATGAGATAGACTCATTACATGCAAAGCAAGATAGTTCAAGCCGTGATTTGTCATAATTGTGATGATTATGGCTTACAGCTCATGAAAACCCCAAATCCACAATCTCAGAAAATTAGAATATTGTGAAAAAGTGCAATATTCTAGGCTCAAAGTGTCCCACTCTAATCAGCTAATTAAGCCATAACACCTGCAAAGGGTTCCTGAGCCTTTAAATGGTCACTCAGTCTGGTTCAGTATGAATCACAATCATGGGAAAGACTGCTGACCTGACAGTTGTGCAGAAAACCATCATTGACACCCTCCATAAGGAGGGAAAGCCTCAAAAGGTAATTGCAAAAGAAGCTTGATGTTCCCAAAGTACTGTATCAAAGCACATTAATAGAAAGTTATGTGGAAGGGAAAAGTGTGGAAGAAAAAGGTGCACAAGCAGCAGGGATGACCGCAGCCTGGAGAAGATTGTCAGGAAAAGGCCATTCAAAAGTGTTGGGGACTTTCACAGGGAGTGGACTGAGGCTGGAGTCAGTGCATCAAGAGTCACCACACACAGATGGATCCTGGACATGGGCTCCAAATGACGTATTCCTCTTGTCAAGCCGCTCCTGAACAACAAACAACATCAAAAGCGTCTTACCTAGGCTAAAGAAAAACAGACCTGCTCAGTTTTCTGATGACAGCAACTTTTGCATCTCATTTGGAAACCAAGGACCCAGAGTATGGAGGAAGAATGGAGAGGCACACACTGCAAGATGCTTGAAGTCCAGTGTGAAGTTTCCACAGTCTGTGTTGATTTGTGGAGCCATGTCATTTGCTGGTGTTGGTCCACTGTGCTTCATTAAGTCCAGGGTCAATGCAGCCGTCTACCAGGAGATTTTGGAGCACTTCATGTTTCCTTCCGCAGACGAGCTTTATGGGGCTGCTGACTTCATTTTCCAGCAGGACTTGGCACCTGCCCACACTGCCAAAAGCACCAAAACCTGGTTCAATGACCGTGGGATTACTGTGCTTGATTGGCCAGCAAACTCGCCTGACCTGAACCCCATAGGGAATCTATGGGGCATTGCCAAGAGAAAGATGAGAGACATGAGACCGAACAATGCAGAAGAGCTGAAGGCCGCTATTGAAGCATCCTGGTCTTCCATAACACCTCAGCAGTGCCACAGGCTGATAGCTTCCATGCCACGCTGCATTGAGACAGTAATTGCTGCAAAAGGGGCCCAAACCAAGTACTGAGTACATATGCATGCTTATACTTTTCAGGGGTCCGATATTGTTCTATGTACAATCCTTGTTTTATTGATTGCATGTAATATTCTAATTTTCTGAGATTGTGGATTTGGGGTTTTCATGAGCTGTAAACCATAATCATCACAATTATAACAAATCACAGCTTGAACTATCTTGCTTTGCATGTAATGAGTCTATCTCATATATTAGTTTCACCTTTTAAGTTGCATTACTGAAATAAATTAATTTTGCACAATATTCTAATTTTTTGAGTTTCACCTGTATATAAATAGGATATAAATGATTAGTATGTACATAATAACAAATACAATAGGATGTAAAAATATATAAAATATAAAAACTGGGCGTAGGTATGGATGATAACAAAATGCTAAAATAAAATCAATAGAATAAATACTGTATATTAATTTTCCGTTAAAATCTATGTTTTGAAACTTGTTGCACTGAATGAAAGTGATAAAGTACAAGGATATTGATATGTGAGTAAACATATGTAAAACATATGTAACAATATTCCACTGATATATCGTGAATAGGTAGGATTTTGTGAACATATTGATGAAGTAGAACACTGTATTAGGCAGCTGGTATCCTTATAAATCAGTGTAGCAGCAAAAACAATGCTAAAACAAAGCTAAAACTTGGAAACAGCATGAAATATAGCTAATCTGTATTCCACCGTTGTTATTGATGTGTTTGAAACAGAGAAGTAAAGGTAATGTGTCAAATATTAGAACAATAAAACAGAGATCTTCCGACGGCGCACTAGTTTTGCTCCTCTGTTTCAAGCACATCAGTATGTACTGTGGAATACAGATCAGCTATATTTCATGCTGTTTTGTCCAGTTCCAGGTTTTAACTTTGCATCTGATGATACATTTGTGGTGCTACCCCCATAGGAGTCTCTTAGAGATTCTGTATATAGCCCTACTATAACTGCCCTACCTAACAGACAGTGCACAATCTACACTTACTGGCCACTTTATTAGGTACACATTGCTAGTACTGGGTTGGACTCCCTTATGCCTTCAGAACTGCCTTAATTCCTTGTGGCACAGATGGTATTCTGCATACCTTGGTTGTAATGAGTGGTTTTTTGAGTTACTGTTTCCTTTCTATCATCTCAAACCAGTCTGTCCATTCTCCTCTGACCTCTGACATCAACAATATATTTTAGTCCATACAACTGCAGCTCATGATGCAGATACTTGTTTTGTGGCATATACTGTACAGTAAGTAGGTACAATGTTTTAAAAATATGTTTAACGTTTTCTCATATTTCTTATCCATACTCAGAACTGCCAGTCTAAGGTTCCTGATATTACATTTTCACAACTTAATGGAATAGAACTTACGAAATGCTTTAATTTTCTGGAAGTCGAACCTTGCTCAGACTCTGCATTCTCTCCCATGTGACAGTTCCTGGGTCTAGGTATTGGCCAATCAGGATTACTCTATTGAGGGTTGTAGAAGAAACTGTCTCTTGTTCCCTCCTAATGGCACATACGATGAGGCATCTGGTTGTACCTGTTTAGTGAGGAAAGCACCAGACATGTTTGTAAAATTCATATGTTGATTATAAAAATTCAGAGCATTTTGTGGGTTCTGAAGGCCCCCTTTAATCAGCGCTAGACCAGAGGCGGACTGACAACTCATGGCTCCCCGGGCAATAGGGGATCATGGGGCCCCTGTGTCCTTGCCCAAACTCAAAAAAGCCTATGAAAAAGGTAACAGGGGCATCTCATGGAGCCCCCTGCTGACCCCGGGGGCCCTCGGGCAGTGTCCGAGTTTCCAAATGGTCAGTCCACCCCTGGCTAGACTAGTCAAAGTAATCATGTGAGGTCACACACCACTCACTCTACGACTCAAAATTTAAGAGCAGGATTTAGTGTCTCTGCTACATGTTTTATTAAAGCTATGTGAATATAGAAGGTAATTGGCATGCAGCCTGACATCATTATTTTGACCACTATCGGTAGGTGATACAGCCCAGAGTGGGATCGGCACCTGCGTCTGGAGAATGGGGCTGTGAAGGGATGGAGGAGCAGTAGAGTTTGGAGCACCACCACTTCCAGTAGACTTTGAACTCTTCCTTGGAATTACTTCACTGTTACAAAATCCTGCTTCTGCTTTCTGCCTAAGTTAAGCCCTGATAAAGGTGGACCTTTAAAATGCCTCAAACTTGTTGGCTCTTTAAGCTCAACATTTAATAACATTACGTTCTGGACTACACAAACATGCCTGGTGCTTTTCTATTGAAACACCAATCCACGCGGGACTAGTTCCGTTCCTTGGCCTTTACTTTTTAAGAGCTGTCTACAAAAAAGAAAACCCATTACTTCTACCCGCAACATATTCTGTATGTGAAACAAGATTTTGCCACAACCTGACAGTTGGGTACATTAAAGTCTGATTAAAAAAGCCATAAATTTCATGAGACCAGTTTGTTTTCCTCACATGTTATATTTTGTGTGTTTATTCTAGGTTGTATCAGGTGAATTTTGATGCACCCACATGTGAGGGGAAACGAAGGGAAATCTCTCGCTGAGTGGAGACTTTTCATCTTCTGCTGAGTTCTTTGTCACAATTGCTGTGTTTGCCTTCCTCTACTCTCTGGCCGCCACAGTAGTCTACATCTTCTTCCAGAACAAGTATCGGGAGAACAACAGGGGGCCCCTAATTGTAAGTCTTGCAGTCACTTTATTGGTTATTAACAGAGTATAATGTGTGTGCAAATGCCACTCTATTGTTCCCAAAATAGTAACACAATGCCATGGAAATCTGATTTTTTATAGCAGTTCCACAACCTCAAAAAAAACATATATGATATTTCCATGTCAATCTTCCCATAGCTGTAACCTACAACTGCCATAAAAATTCTGAGTTTTGTTCCACTGAACCATGACAGTAATGGGGGAATTCTGTGCAAAGTTTTCTGTACAGACAGACTTCTCATTTCCTGATTTCATGATTGGCTTCTTGCTTTCCTAAAAGTGTACAAAGAGCTTGAGGTAAAATTTCAGACATCCCTTACACTGTGCCAAGGTTTACAGCAGAACGATCATCACTGGTCATAATATAACCATATATTGACAGGGGTTCTTGGGATGCTCCCACTTCAGTTTGAGATATTAGGCCTTTTTCAGTATCTACAGAGCAGAAGCAGAAAAGAACTTGTAATCAGATTTGATCAAAAGCATTTCAATTTATACAAGCAAAGTTTGAATTTCCCATAAAATGAGAAGATCACTAGGATACATCATACCAATAAACATACATAGAATTTGGTTAATTGCACTTTGCTTTTTTTCATACCTGCACCCATACCTTCTTCAAAAAGTCATACTAGGGGATAATTATCAATTATGTCCCATGGAAAATCAATACTAAACAGGATCAGTGAGATGCAACATGATACAAATGTATTACATTCCTAATTTTTTTTTTACATTTATACCTGACCCTGACCTGCTCTTAATTATGGGTTTAATTCATTTCATACAAAAGACTTTTTTTACATAAACATCTATACTTTTCTTTGTAGAGTTAGCCTGGCCAGCTGATTTTTAAAGGGAAAAAAAATATGTTCTCAGATGCTTACTGTTGGTTCCATGAAAAAAGGCTATTGCCAGTTGTGTCTGGAATTATTGGTAGTTTTGGACATAACCTTATGATTAGTGTAGAGATGAGCGAAGTATTCAAAAATTTGATTCGACTGATTCGGCGAATTCGTGGAAAAATTTCGATTCGAGTCGAATATATTCGCTGCGAATTTAACTTATAAAAAAGGGTGTTTCTAGGCTTCAGAGAGACTTTATATTAGTGCAGAACACTGTACCTTTAATTTAAATGCCCTTGGAGTCTGCTGGGGAAGAGAAATAAATACTGACAGTCAGTATGACATGCAGATGAGTGCCGTCGATCTTAGAATCACCGCACACTTCACTCATTTGGGCAGTCACGGGGCCAAAACCAGAGTGTGGAGCCACAGTGTGGCGGTGGAGGCAGCAGCAATGGGAGGCCATACAGCACCCTATGACAAAAATGGAAACCACCAGCAGTGTGAGGAGACCTGAAAGTGGCACATGGCAGAGTGTGGCGATGGAGACAGCAGCAATGGGAGGCCGTACAGGGACCCATGACACACTCTGGACCTGGCAGCAGCATGAGGAGGCGGTACAGGGGCCCATGCAGATTACGGGCCTGGCAGCAGCATGAGGAGTTGGTACGGGGGCCCATGGCAGATTACGGGCCTGGCAGCAGCAATGGGAGGCGTACAGGGACCCATGTACACTCTGGGGCACCCATGACACACTCTGGACCTGGCATGAGGAGCAGCATGAGGAGGCATGAGGAGGCGGTACAGGGGCGCATGACAGATTACGAGCCTGGCAGCAGCAACTTGGACAGGAGGACGTTCAGCTTCTGCACCGTCGGGTGCGTGCTCGCAAAACTGTTGTCTCTTGGAAACGGATTCCAAGAAAGACTGCTGACGGAATCCGTGAAGAGGAGTAGCAGGAGAAGGAGCATCTGAACGAGCGGAATATGCCAACAAGCGACAACAGGGGCCCATGACAGATTACGGGCCTGGCAGCAGCATGAGGAGTCGGTACGGGGGCCCATGGCAGATTAGGGGCCTGGCAGCAGCTATGGGAGGCCCGTAATCTGCCAGCACCCTATGACAAAAAATGGAACCCACCAGCAGTGTGAGGAGACCTGAAAGTGGCACATGGCAGAGTGTGGCGATGGAGACAGCAGCAATGGGAGGCCGTACAGGGACCCATGAGAGACTCTGGACCTGGCAGCAGCATGAGGAGGCGGTATAGGGGCCCATGGCAGATTAGGGGCCTGGCAGCAGCTATGGGAGGCCCGTAATCTGCCAGCACCCTATGACAAAAAATGGAACACACCAGCAGTGTGAGGAGACCTGAAAGTGGCACATGGCAGAGTGTGGCGATGGAGACAGCAGCAATGGGAGGCCGTACAGGGACCCATGAGAGACTCTGGACTTGGCAGCAGCATGAGGAGGCGGTATAGGGGCCCATGGCAGATTAGGGGCCTGGCAGCAGCTATGGGAGGCCCGTAATCTGCCAGCACCCTATGACAAAAAATGGAACACACCAGCAGTGTGAGGAGACCTGAAAGTGGCACATGTTTGGGGCATGATTCATGGCGGATTTAGTCAGTTGTGTCAGGAACTGGTGGTTTGAAATCCAGACTAATCCACGCCTGATTCATTTTCACAAACGTGAGTCTCTCCACACTTTGGGTGGACAGTCGTGTCCTCCGCGGAGTTGCAATACCTCCTGCCGCACTAAACACGCGCTCCGATGCCACGCTACTGGCCGGGCATGACAGCCTTTCAAGGGCAAATTCAGCTAGTTGGGGCCAAAGGTCAAGTTTCGTTGCCCAGTAGTCAAGGGGATTGTCTACCTCGGTTGGCAGGGTGCTGTCCAAGTAGGCCTAAGCCTGTTGTTTGAGGTCCTGCTCCAGGTCCACCTGATGCTGCTGCTGCTGCTGCTGCTGCTGCGGCTGGTTAGTAGTTTCCTCACTGCGCTGGTGAAGAAAGCTACTCATCATCGACTGCAGACTGAGGCAGCTGCTGCTGGTGGAGCTGCCACTGCTCCTACCACCCCACCCCTCCCCTGCTGCCATGGCAGCGGAACGCGAGCGCACAGGGCCCACAGTGTCTGAGGATGGACGTTGGCGCAGACAGGCAGAGACCAGCTGACTACATAGGTGGTTTTTATAGTACGTTATTTTGGCCTCCCTCTCAGCAGGTGTGAAAAAGGCCACCATTTTTGAACGGTAGCGAGGGTCCAACAAGGTGGACAGCCAAAAGTCATCCCTCTGTCTGATGGTTATTATTCGGCTGTCGCTACGCAAGCAAGCGAGCATGCTATGGGCCATTTGCCTCCATCTCCACAGCATACTGCCACGGTGCGTCTGGGTCCTCTGTCTCCTCTTCCTCCTCCTCTACCAGATGCTCCTGCTCCTCCACTCCTGTCCGCTGAGTGGAAAAACCACCCATTTCACTCAATAATTCCTGAGCACCAATGTCCTCCTCTACCTCCTCCTCTTCTTCCTGTCCTGCCCCCACAGGGGTCATGTGGCGTTGAGATCTGTGCGCCACGTCTACCGCACCCTGACCAGCCATTGTTAACAGCATTTGTTCCAGGACGTGCAACAGAGGAATGACGTCGTTCATCCCATAGTCCTGCCGACTCACGAATAGCGTGGCCTCCTCAAAGGGCCTGAGCAAGCGCAGGTGTCACGCATGAGCTGCCAATGGCTGACATCTAAGTTACACAGGGAGTACCTTTATCCGCTTTTAACATCAGGAAATCTGTGATGGCCTTTTGCTGTTCGTAAAGGCGGTCTAACATATGTAGGGTTGAATTCCACCTTGTTGCAACGTCACAGCATGAGGAGTCGGTATAGGGGCCCATGGCAGATTAGGGGCCTGGCAGCAGTTATGGGAGGCCCGTAATCTGCCAGCACCCTATGACAAAAAATGGAACACACCAGCAGTGTGTGAGGAGACCTGAAAGTGGCACATGGCAGAGTGTGGCGATGGAGACAGCAGCAATGGGAGGCCGTACAGGGACCCATGAGAGACTCTGGACCTGGCAGCAGCATGAGGAGGCGGTATATAGGGGCCTATGGCAGATTAGGGGCTGGCAGCAGCTATGGGAGGCCCGTAATCTGCCAGCACCCTATGTCAAAAAAATTGAACACACCAGCAGTGTGTGAGGAGACCTGAAAGTGGCACATGGCAGAGTGTGGCGATGGAGACAGCAGCAATGGGAGGCCGTACAGGGACCCATGACAGACTCTGGACTTGGCAGCAGCATGAGGAGGCGGTGCGGGGGATATAGGGGCCCATGGCAGATTTAGGGGGCCTGGCAGCAGCTATGGGAGGCCCGTAATCTGCCAGCACCCTATGTCAAAAAATTCAACACACCAGCAGTGTGAGGAGACCTGAAAGTGGCACATGGCAGAGTGTGGCGATGGAGACAGCAGCAATGGGAGGCCGTACAGGGACCCATGACAGACTCTGGACCTGGCAGCAGCATGAGGAGGCGTTATATAGGGGCCCATGGCAGATTAGGGGCCTGGCAGCAGCTATGGGAGGCCCGTAATCTGCCAGCACCCTATGTCAAAAAATTCAACACACCAGCAGTGTGAGGAGACCTGAAAGTGGCACATGGCAGCAGAGTGTGGCGATGGAGACAGCAGCAATGGGAGGCCGTACAGGGACCCATGACAGACTCTGGACCTGGCAGCAGCATGAGGAGGCGGTATATAGGGGCCCATGGCAGATTAGGGGCCTGGCAGCAGCTATGTGAGGCCCGTAATCTGCCAGCACCCTATGACTTCAAAAAAAATTCAAACACACCAGCAGATTGTGAGCAGAGACCTGAAAGTGGCACATGGCAAAAAAATGAGAGAAAGTGGCACATGGCTGGACCTGGCAGCAGCATGGAGGAGGCGGTACAGGGGGCCCATTGGCAGATTAGGGGCCTGGCAGCAGCTATGGAGGCCCGTAATCTGCCAGCACCCTATGTCAAAAAAATTTAACACACCAGCAGTGTGAGAGGACCTGAAAGTGGCACATGGCAGCCAGAGTGTGGCGATGGAGTCAGCAGCAATGGGAGGCCGTACAGGGACCCATGAGAGACTCTGGACCTGGCGAGCAGCATGAGGAGGCGGTATATAGGGGCCCATGGCAGATTAGGGGCTGGCAGCAGCTATGTGAGGCCCGTTATCTTGCAGCACCCTATGTCAAAAAATTGAGACACACCAGCAGGTGTGTGTGAGGAGACCTGAAAGTGGCACATGGCAGAGTGTGCGTGGAGACAGCAGCAATGGGAGGCCGTTACAGGGACCCTGAAGACTCTGGACCTTGGCAGCAGCATGAGGAGGCGGTTATTTTAGGGGCCCA